GGAGGGGGGTATTTATTCAGACTGCCATGCCTAGCAGGATAAAACAACAGCAGAATCAATAAACAATAACAATGTAGACAGTGTTTACCAGTTACACAGATTGCAAACAGTGTAACAACAGATTTATGAACAGACCATACCTAACAACATGGATCACAGAGGCAATGTTCAGACCTCTCGGTCTCTGGCCTAACTAATGGAAGATACACAGTGGTCTGTTAAAGGTACAGTCCCTTCCTACCCCCACTGTCCAGTGGTTACTTATCTATCACTGTCTGGTGTTGGGCCCAGAGCCCTTGGTGGAATACTCTAAATAGATTTTGTAATCTCAGAAAAAGGGGAAGGAGCTCTACTAAACAATCAGTTCTGAATATCTTGGTAAGAGGGCAGTACTATCCCTTTAAATGGATAGAAGACAAAGACTTTGGCCTAAAGGCTTTGCACCATTCTGGCAGTTTTGTATGGCAGTCTCTATCCCTCCTTGAAGTCTGGAACAGTGTCTCCGAGCTCAACTGCAGACAGGTCAGCAGTGGTCTAGATGTGCCTTTTACTATGAAAGAAGTTAATTAAAGCTTGGTTACGGCCCTCGCCACCTCCCAAAAAAATAAAAAATAAAAGTCAGCAGCTACAAATATTGTGGCTGCTGATTTTTAACAGTAGTGCACTTACCTGTCCAGGCATCCAGTGGTGTCCTCACCCTGAGTCAATTCTTCAATTGGCTCTCGGGTGCTGGCGCCACCATTTTGACTAAGGGAAACCAGCGGTGTTCACCACCAGTTTCCTACTGCGCATGCATGAAGCACACTGCAGTTCGTGAATGGGCTGTAGTCCTGTAGGACCTTGAAAGTGTCCCAGAGGGCTGTGGGGAGTGCCGAATGTCCAGCTCAGTTTGCCACGGCAAAACACAGCCGGATGTGGGAGCAGGTACCTGTCAAAACCAGGAGGCAGGGCGGCAGAAAAGTCTGGTCTGCTCATGATTCTCTGGTGTAGTTGGAGTTTGTCGGTGTTCCACTTGCTTTCAGGAAGGTATGAGAGCCTTCCAGAATATAGGTAGGGACTAGGCAAATGAACAGCATGAATATGGAAACAGCCCTAGACAATTGTAGGGGAAGGTGACCCCATTACATGTTGGGAGTGGTATTTATGCTCTGGGAGCACATGGGTTCAACATCTTTCCCTGGAGTGGATTGCACTAAGCCAGGCTGGCCTCAAGTGGATCGACCTGAGGGCCTGAATTTAGAGAGAGTGACCTGCTTCAACAGTACGCTGTCTGAGGGGAGCTGTCTGCCAAAGATCTGTCTGGTATCACTGAAGAGACAGTCGCTTGGAAGATTTGAAGGAGGCAACCATTCTGTCCTTGGACTTGTGAGCAAAGACACTGATAGATCTTGGGGACTCTGTGTGCTTTGCTACCCCTCTGGTGCTTGATAGGCAGCATGGGTCTATGAAAGGGAACACCGGCTATTGTTCTGAAGAGCTTGTCCAATAGATGCTACTGTAAAAGACTTTGCTCAGGTTCTATTACTTTTGGACTGTCACGGTCTGCCATAATAGGCCTATACCTGAGTAACTCTGTCAGGAATGGACTTGCCAGTAGTTGTGGGACTCACCTGCCTTGTGGGCTGCAGTACCAGGGCTGGCCAGCAGGTGCTCTCAACAACCAGAAGTTCACTTCGGCAATTAGCCATCACCTGGGGCTGATTGCAGGTGGTGTATTTAAGGGATGGCCAGACCTGCAGTCTGTGCCTTGGTGTGTATTTTTCCATGGGCCCCTGTACCTTGTAACCTGCATTCCTGTTCCTGTTTCTGCCTGACTTGCTGCCAACCCTGCCTGATCCTGACCTCTGCTGACTTCTCCTGTTTGATCCCTGGCTTGTGACCCTGACCATTCTCTCCGCCTCCTCCTCCTGTACCTACCTGCCCGATAGTTATCGACCCGGCCTGCCTGACTACATTGTGCTCTATATGTGTATGTACCTGTGTATCTATATCAGTTTAGGTTTGGGTTTGTTTCACCTTGTTGTATGCATTTGTGTTAGCTTGGGGTTTGGTGCACTGCGTTTATGTTTGTATTGTTAGTCTTAATAAATTGTCTTATTTATACCATATCTGAAGCTTGCGTTTCCCTGTGTCAGTCCACACACTTCTGGTCACACCCGCATCCCTGCCAAACTCAGCCCTGCAACTACTACTATTGCTAAAGGGACTTCGCTCACTCCTGAAATTACTTGTTGCTACACTTTAAAGAGAAGACTGCTACATATCTGTTTCGGCCAGGACTTCAATAGTGCTTAACTAAGAGATCAGCTAGATGTGTGTGAATAGTTCTAATTTTGAAGTATCCCACTACAATTCCCCAACCCTGTCTCATCCCCTAGATTGGGCATTGAAGACAACGAGCTAAAGTGTGTGTGTGTGTGTGTGTGTGTGTGTGTGTGTGTGTATTTAGCTGAAGAGTACACTGTGCCTGGCTGCAGGGCAAAGTAAGGGGAAACCAGGGCAAATACACAAGTGGCTCTTGCAAGGGTAGTGCTACAGGAGGAGGACTAGGGAAGGAGCAAGGAAGATCCAGTTGGAGATCAGAAGTTGTTGGATGGGCATCTCCTCCCTCCCTAATTGTTGATTTATGATGGTTTATATTTATTTTAGGTACTTATATACTGTATTTACATATATATTGTACATTCACATCCATCCCTAACCCTCAAGCTGCATACAATCTAAGTTCCCCAACTTATATTAAGTATATTATTAATACATACGAATGCTAGGACCAATTTAGACAGGATCCAATTAACCTAGCAGCATGTCTTTGGAGGAAACCAGAGTACCCAGAGGAAACCCGGTAGGTGCCACAGATATAAGGTTTAGGTATATGGTACCTTTAAGAACTTGCAATCTCATTATGTTTATTTTGTTATTTTATTATTTGTATGTTCTTGATAATAAAAGGCTTCTATGTCCATTTTAATTCTAGAGTAATGTGTTTCTTTGGGGCTAGAGGGAGGTGGAGTTGGTGAAGGCTGGCCAGTGATTGTAGGTACATGTGTAACCTCTGATTTACCCTGGACATGGATGGAGCAGCAATGACCCTGGATGCAGTAGCATTATTAAGTGTCCCGTGCAATTAGAATTGCAATAGGATGATCCCTCACTGGGTCTGTATACAGCCATAGCCCCTCTGCAGGTGGGCTAATACACAAAGCAAAAGACTGATCAACACAGGTCCCTCTCAGCAGCACAGAATCAGCACGGAACCTCCCAGAGTCCTTCCGAGCACCTGGATGGAGATCCTCTCTCCTCTGCTACCTGCATGAAAGCCCCCTCCCCCCAACCAAAGTTTTCAGTACTCTACCCTTTCCCACTGACACTCTGGAATTTGTAGTCTATCTCCCTTTGTACAGGGCCATGTTTCTCTGTAGGGCTTTTCAGTGGGCCTTACAATCTGCCTACTCCTGCAGCCACTCACCATTCTTCCCAGTACATTTATAACCCCTTATAAAATGGCCACCCCCTATGTTAAAGCTGATCTCCAGCTTTTACCTTTAAATAGATACTTTTTTTTTTAAGTTTCACAGTACAGTGCACCTACTCAAAACTAACACCAGGTGCCAAAAAAAAAAGTGAGCACATAAATAGTGAAGCACACAAAAAAAGTGTACAGGGTGTACACTTAGTCCTTCCTTAGCTCTAATCCCCCAAGGCTCAAGACCAGGATTGGAGTATTCATGGTCCACTTGACTGAAACCAGATAGACCCCTTTCTTTATAGGACCTGCCAAAGCAAGGTCCACCCAAGTACTGGGTAGGACTCCCCCAAAGGAAGACACCCTGGGAAGGGGAGAACCTGGCCATAAGGTCCCCCTTCCCCCAAGACTTTCAGGGCAAGTCTGAGGACCTACTGCACCCTACTAATTGGGAGTACAAACATAAAAAATAGGAATAGGTGTAAAGGATACAAGTACCAAAGTGCTGTACAATGGCTGGCTTTTCAGCCAATATAAATATTCCTCTGGTCCCATCTAAAGAAGGCAGGTGTGAAAAAAATGCAATGAATGCTGTGACCAAGATGCTATATTTAAAAAACAAAAAAAAACAAAACAGAGTTACCCAACTGTGGATTTATGGCAAATAGTAAAATAAAAAATGAAGAGTTTCAATGTATTTCACTAACAGTTGCCGTAGCTGTCAGAGCTGCATAAACTGTATGTAGCTAGAACTTACTCTCCCACTCCTAGAACAAAATCAAGTCAGACTGACAGTCAATCCAGTGTTTATATGTATGGCCACCAAAAAAAGAAATGTAATTTATGCTTTTTAATGATCAATGGAGTTGGGAAGATGGATATTTCTTGCACTCTATGAGACAGTGCTGGAGGGGATGGGAGGAACCGAGTAGGGTTTTTGCATCATTTACTGTACCTCCTGCAGATAGGACAAGGTGCTGTCAATCAAAATGGTTGTGGGTGTAGCTAAGCATGGCTGTTTGCTGATAGGGCTATCAATGGTGCTACCAACATCTACAGCAGCTGCAAAGGTGACAACGTTGCAGTGATCTCACAGCAGAAGGAACCAATTGTCACCCTACCAAAGGAAGTGGCAATGGTTCTACTGGCAAGATCAAATATTTGCAAAATGATTCAGTGGATACATATAAAAAAAGAGCCCATAGCCTTACCGGCATTGGCACCCTTTATTATATATCAGATTGTATACTCTGACCATAATTCTACTTTAAGAGCTGCAGAAATGCCTGTGCTAAATATTAAAAGTCAATTTCCAGCAGGTGTGCAGGCTTCAAAACCAACCCAGGAAAACATTAATTTGTTCATCATATTTTATTACAGGATTTTGTATGTGTGTATGAGATTTTTCCAAACTGAATTCCATCATAAAACTGGATGACTCTGGTCATTGCAGGGTTAAAGGATACACATAACTAAATAAACAGACGTGATTAAGCTATGACAGCGGTCACTAGAATCGTGCAGTACTCACTACATGATGGGACAGACCAGTGAACCACACATGCCACACGATCGGTTCTGGTGCCTCTGGGCTATTTGGCTCATTTCTTTAGGTAAGAACTTCTATCATATGTTAAGCAAAAGTATTAAAAGGCAAAAAAAAATTGTTACTTTATCTCTTCTGGCATTTTTGTTGAGGCAGGAAGTGGCATTTCCAGTTGCAGATTTCAGCTGTGTCTGACAGAGGCCAGGATAAACTTTTCCCATGTATTAATCCCGTGTATTATTTCCCACAGAGCCTGCATCTGCTGTGTTCGTGGTGAATAGAACTCTGGGGGACTCTGTGTTTTTCCATCAGTTTGTGTACTGGAACGCTCCATTGGAGTGGAGGTTTGGAGATGATGAAGTAGTTGCAGCAAGGCCTTTTTATGCTGCCCCATATTGTTACCCTCGTTATCAGGGAAGATGTCAACTTTCCAGTGAAGGGGCACTGCAGCTAAACAACTTGACATACTCTGATCAAGGGCAGTACGTCTTTATTGTTGGGGCAATTAAACCTTACCATAGCCAGATTGTCTATTATCAGCTCCAAATATATCGTAAGTATTGATTCTGTTGTTTAGTATGTTACAGCTTGCCGGATGAAAGTGATTATTATTTATCATCTATATATTATTTTCTCTGTCTCTCCATCTATCTATCTAGATCTATCTATCTACAGCATCTATCTATCTATCTATCTTGGCAACCCATTTTTAAACACCAGGGTTTGACCCATGACTTGGGTTTGCAAACTCTCTGGTTGTTGTTTTCCAATTCCAAACCTACCTACCTATCCATTCGGTGACTAATTTTGAATAAGCACTATAAAAAATATATAGTTATAATTATAATATATAGGTCAAGTTACAATTCTACTTATAATTAAGATTTGGGTTTGCAAACTCTGTTTCTTGTTTTCCAATTCTAAACCTACCTACATATCTCTCTATCTCTTCGGTGACTAATTTTGAATAAGCACTATCTGTAGTGTTACCGCCACAGGGGCCACTTGATGATGCTTGTCCCCAGTGGTTGCCCTGACCTTGCAAGCCTCCCGAGACCTCTGACACACTGGGTTAAGACATATTTCAGCAGTATGCAAATGAAATAATACTGCAAGAGACATGATTCTTTAGCAACACCTCTGTATTAGGCTTGTTGAAAATAATAGACCACGGAATGAAGGTTTAGGAGGTACATCCCTAGTTAACGCATAAAAGCAAAAACACTGATAAAATGAAAATAACTAAATGGCAATGGCTAACAGCAGGGGTAGACTGACAACTCAAGGGGCCTCCGGGCAATAGGGGATCATGGGGCCCCTGTGTCCTTGCCCAAACTCAAAAAAAGCCTATGAAAAAAAGGTACCAGGGGCATCTCATGGGGCCCCCTACTGACCCCGGGCCCTTGGGCACTGCCCGAGTTTCCAAATGGTCAGTCCGCCCCTGGTTAACAGATTATACCATCACATATGGTACATTATAACTATATAACTGCAACACCAAAAGTAGGAAGAGGAAGAAAAGGCTTGTTGACTCCCTCTTGGCCACCGGCATCACAAAAGACAATACACATATATATATATATATATATATATATATATATACACACACACACACACACACACACACACACATACATATATATATATACAGTGGGGATCGAAAGTTTGGGCACCCCAGCTAAAAATTTGTATTAATGTGCATAAAGAAGCCAAGGAAAGATGGAAAAAATCTCCAAAAGGCATCAAATTACAGATTAGACATTCTTATAATATGTCAACAAAAGTTAGATTTTATTTCCATCATTTACACTTTCAAAATAACAGAAAACAAAAAAATGGCGTCTGCAAAAGTTTGGGCACCCTGCAGAGTTAATATCTTGTACTGCCCCCTTTGGCAAGTATCACAGCTTGTAAACGCTTTTTGTAGCCAGCCAAGAGTCTTTCAATTCTTGTTTGAGGTATCTTTGCCCATTCTTCCTTACAAAAGTCTTCCAGTTCTTTGAGATTTCTGGGCTGTCTGTCACGCACTGCTCTTTTAAGGTCTATCCATAGATTTTCAATTATGTTGAGGTCAGGAGATTTGTGAAGGCCATGGCAAAACCTTCAGTTTACGCCTCTTGATGTAATCCCCCGTGGATTTTGAGGTGTGTTTAGGATCAATATACATTTGTAGAAGCCATCCTCTCTTTAATTTCAGCTTTTTCACAGATGGCATCAAGTTACCATCCAAAATTTGCTGAAATTTTATTGAATCCATTTTTCCTTCTACTCGTGAGATGTTCCCTGTGCCACTGGCTGCAACACAACCCCAAAGCATGATTGATCCAACCCCATGCTTAACAGTTGGACAGAGGTTCTTTTCATTAAATTCTGTGCCCCTTCTTCTCCAAACGGACCTTTGCTTAATCCGGCCAAAAAGTTCAATTTTAACCTCATCGGTCCACAGAACTGGTTTCCAAAATGCATCAGGCTTGTCTATATGTTCATTTGCAAAGTTCAAACAATGATTTTTGTGGTGAGGACGTAGAAGAGGTTTTCTTCTGATGACTCTTCCATGAAGACCATATTTGTACAAGTATCTCTTTATAGTGGAATAGTGTACCACAGCTCCAGTGTCTGCCAGATCTTTCTGGAGGGATCGTGCAGTCAAACGTGGGTTTTGAATTGTTTTTCTCAAAATCCTGCGAGCTGTTCTGTCTGATATTTTTCTTGGTTTTCCAGATCTTGCTTTAACTTCCACTGTTCCTGATGACTGCCATTTCTTAATTACATTCCGAACAGAGGATATTGACATCTGAAAACGCTTTGCTATCTTCTTATAGCCTTCTCCAGCTTTGTGAGCGTCAACTATTTTCAGTTTCAGTTTTCTAGACAACTGCTTAGAAGAACCCATGGTGCTGATTGTTGGGGCAAGGTCAGATGAGTCTGGGCATTTAAAACCTTTGAGATTGACATAACCTGGTCTTCCCAGACAATGATTGAGAACAATCCATGACACTGGCAGGTCTCAGCTTTGCAAAGGGGGCAGTGCATGCTATAAATTCTGCAGGGTGCCCAAACTTTTGCAGACGCCATTTTTTTGTTTTCTGTTATTTTGAAAGTGTAAATGATGGAAATAAAATCTAACTTTTGTTGACATATTATAAGAATGTCTAATCTGTAATTTGATGCCTTTTGGAGATTTTTCCATCTTTCCTTGGCTTCTTTATGCACATTAATACAAATTTTTAGCTGGGGTGCCCAAACTTTCGATCCCCACTGTATATATATATATATATATATATATACACACACACACACAAACACATATACACACACACACATATATACACAGTAATCACTGTGTCCCCCTTGCAGGGAAGGCTCCCAATGGCTCCACGGAAGGAATTCCCCCATAATCATGGACTGTGTTGATGGGAAAATTGATCTATTTTCTTTCCTGCAACTCGTGGTTGCTGGAAAGAAAATCACTCCATCTATGGCCGGCTTAACAAACACCTTCTTTAGGGAATTTGAGGGCACTGAGAGCTACATTCCTATCTGTTGGAATATCTGATAAGCAGTAGGATCTCATCTTACTACGACTTTCTAATCATAATTACTGAACCAGCCGATTATGTAAGTTAATTTTAATTTTTGTATTCCAATGCATCTGTTGCATTGTTTTATGGTCATTTGAGTCGGTATACTGTATTGCTTTTAATACAAGCATTGTTAGTAAAATTATAGTTATATGCAACATATTTTTCTTACCTTTCTTTATTTTAAAGCTCCTCTCAATGTACTTGTTCTTGTTTTTAATGCTGCTCATGACCGCCTTGTGAGTGGCAGCAATGTTTCATTTCTCTGTGATGGTGGTAACCAGAATACTACTACTCTTACCTTCTACCATGATGGGAAGAACATCTGCTCTGAGCCCCATGTGACCTGTCAGGATTCCTACCTCTACTTCCAGCCAATCACAGAGAGTGATAGTGAAGGTACACCTGCACCATCCACAACCCTCTCAGCTCCAACACCAGCAAAGCCCTATTGGTAACTGTGTCAGGTAATCATTTTTATTGTAAAACTGAAAATCAGGCAGATATAAGAATACACCAAGGAATGCAGCTGTGTGCTTTAACCTCCTCGGCGGTATGATTCTTTCCGATTTTTGTGCTGAAAGCGGTACTTTTTTTGCATGGAAATATGTAGTTTTTTATTGTAGGCTGTAATTTTTAGGAATAACTCACTGAAATCTGTACGAACAAGAGTCTAGTAAACATCCCGGGTATGATAAAATTTGAAACACGAAATCATAAATTATAATTTAATAAATAATCATATAAAAATAATAATATAATAATAAATTTAATTCAATAATATAATCAAACCAAAAACACTGAAATTTGAAATATAGCGCCAAGTTCGCACATCGCTGAGCAAAGTCGCAAAATCGTTTTCAGTGTCTGATGACGAATTTCCCCCACGAATCATTATCACTCAATTCTGCAAGTGGTTCTGATTTACTATCGCTGTACTCTAGCCGGTCTAAAACCGCTTTTGACCTAAAGGGACACTTTTTGGACGCCATGGACTTTTCTCAGTTTCCCGGCAGAAAGAACAGTCAAAATGCAGGCAGGGCGCCGGACAAAGCAGTAGGGACAAAATGTATGTGAAATGCATTGAAACAGCAATGTTTTACTATGTAATAATCATTTTTTTAAAAATGACATTTTTAAAAAATTTCAAATTTGCCGACGTCACAGGAACCGGGACACGGATGCCGGCATCGGCCAGAGATGGCCGGGGACGCTGCAGGGGACACATCGTGGGAGCGAAGGACAAGGTAAGTGCTGTAGGGACTCCCTGAGCAGTGCCGCATGGTAAGTCCGAGTGTAGCTTGGGGTTACCGCTCTTGGTACTCAAATTTTACCCCGAGCTACACTCGGGAATACCGCTAAGGAGGTTAAAACATCATAACAGGTATTTTTGCATTCAGCTAGTGTAAAGACACAGGCAGTAAAAATGGGTGGTTTAGCATTTTTACTGCCCCTTGAAAGTAATCACTGAAAGCCTAACAGGGCAGCCAGGCAGGATCATACACGTGCTGTGGCTGCAGCAAATTTAACTCAGCATGTCCAGTTTGATGGCCAAAGTCAATGGTTCATGCTTGCAGTGCATTAGTTCCAACAATGGGGTGCTCTTCCTTCTTCTGATACCAAAGATGGAGAATTGTCTATTCCAACTAACATCAGGACCTTTTCTACTCCCAATAGTCAAAGGGCCCCCTAAAGTCTGAAGGACAGTAAACTGGCTCTTTCTTTAGAAAGTTTGGAGACCCCTGGCCTACTGGTAGACCATTTAAACTAAGCACTATTTCAAAGCTGCTTGGTGGGACCCCTTGAATACAGATGTTGAGATTTACTGACATTAATGCACTTTGGTGTAGCTGTGCATGGTAGCTAATCAGCTTCTAACTTCAGTTTGCTCAATTAAGCTTTGAAAATAAAACCTGGAAGCTGATTGGTTTCTACGCAGAGTTGCACCAGATTTTGCACCATACGGTTTTAG